ACCATTAGGTTATCACCAAGGGTGCTCTTCATTAGCACCATCATCATCCTTTTGTCATCACACGGCGTTGTGCGTCGTCATCATCATCACCACCACCATCATCATCATCATCATCATCATCATCATCATCATCATCATCACCATCATCATCATCATAATCATCACCGACATCATCATCATCACTAACATCATCATCATCACCGATATCATCATCATCATCATCATCATCATAAGTTTGTAATCATAGGGCACTGTTGGTGCTGCCTTTCAGTATGATCAACATCATCATTCTGTCTTCATTTTCATCATTACTAACATCATCATCATTTTATCATCATTAGATGCTCCCCTTCAAGGCATTGTTTGCCTTTCACATCAGCAGGTGAGTTGGCCGTCACCATCATTCTCATCCTCATCATCATCATCAGGGTGTTGTTCATCGTCATCAACAAATCAAAAAAAAAAAAAACATCTCATCTACCTTTCTTCATCATAATTTTCAGAAATTTCCGATTCTTCCACTCATATCTTAGGAATTTTATTTCCTTAAATTCCTTAGGCTCGTTTTTTTTTTTCTCCACTATTAATTTTTAATTCCCTCTTGGGCGCACTAATGAATTATTTTTTTGTGGGTTGAGGGTTGGGGTTTTAAGGAGGAGAGCTTTACTTGGAGGGGGCTTCACAAGGTGGGGGCTGAAATGCCCTGGAGGGAGTAGGGCCAACTTGAAATTTTTGGGGGATGACCTATTCTGGGGCTGGGAGAGATGTATGGGCTGGCATCACATCCCAGCGGAGGTAGATAGGGGTGAGGGGTAAGTTGAGGCATACTTTGGGTGAAACTGGATGCCTTAGAGGAAGCAGGGGGAGGAAGCAGATATGTCCCAAGTTGGGGCCGATAAGGAGAGCTTGTGATCAGGGCTATCCTTTTCGGTGGAGGTAGTGGAGGGACAAAAGGAGATGGAGGGGAGGGGGAGGAAATAATCCATACTCTGCAAGGGCTTCACAAGGAGGGAGGTGATTGCCCTGAAGGGAGATGGGGCAGATTTTGAGGGGATGCTCTATTCTGGGGCTGGGGGAGATGTATGGGTCGACATCATATCCCAGCAGTGGCAGATGAGGGCAAAGGGTTGGCAGTGACATACTTTGGGTGGGAACTGGATGCCTTTGTGGGAGTTGGGGGGGGGGGGAATGGGTCTGTCCCAAGTTGGGGCCAATGAGGAGTGTTAGTGATCAGGGGCGATCCTTTTCGGTGGAGGCAGCGGTGGGGCAGAGGGATGAGGGGGAAAGGGGGAATTTTTATATCCTTTACTCGTATTTGGTTGAGACTTTTTCTAATTCTTTCTGGAATTTTCAAAACAAGCACCCTTATTATTCCTGGTCGTTTAACGAATCTCTCAGGACTTTGAGGGACGGCTGGTGGTTTGTACGAAGCTGCACTGGAATTAGACAGCTATATTCAGGATCCGTGGTTGTTCCATGCCAGAACAACGCTGGTCAGAGTCGGGGTGATGCCCTGTAACTTGCCGAAGGTGAGGGCATGAGGCCTTGTAGAGAGATCTGGGAATGCTATGCGGGGACATCCTAAGGGACAACTGGGGGTTGCTGACATAGCACAACACTGGTCGGAGATGGAGTTAGTCGCGTTGCTCTGTAACCTAGCAGATAGGGGGCATGAGGCCTGGATGAGTTTGTCAGAGAATAAGTCAGTTTTCGTGAGCTTTGTTATGATCTGTATGAAATCCCTTATGTACTTGAGTGTTCGGGGAATTGCGGTCGATTTCAGGAGGTGTTTAGCTATCGTAAAAAAACATTCGTAGTTTTCTCACCATCTATCCCGATTTTCAGTAGCTTGTTCATGATCTTGGAGGACACTCTCAAGTTGAAACCGGGTAATGGCTCCGGTGCCTTTTTTTTTTTTTTTTTTTTTTTTTCAAATGGAACAAAGCTCCAATCTATTCGTGGGGAGCAGCATGTGCTGGGAACTGGGCCCAGCATCCCATATGGAAATGTACGTAGAAGTATAAAATTTTGAGAAACCGAGGCCATGACAAAAATTTAGGCAAAGTTCAAAAACGACTCGGAAACCCCCCATCAATCCTTTTTACCTCACTACGGCAAGCCTTACTGCAGCAGAGCCACCATCTTCACTGCTGCTGTACCCTAACTCCATCCTACAAGCTAACCCCCTCACTAGTAGGACGCTTAGTATCCAACCGTCTATTCCTCTCACCTTTCCTTGAAAAAATTAAGAAGACCTCCCCCTGCCAGCATCGATTGCCCCGGAAACCAGGGGATTAACTGAGCAAGGGCGATCCTAATAGTAGGTAAAATTGAAAGATATGAAACCATGCAACCTTTGGAACAGTCAACCTAAAAAATCCTGCCTCCATCATCGAAAGGAAAAACCTCAATGGAGTTAATAGTAAGTGGCCGGTACCCGCCAAGATATTTGGCACCAATCGCATCCAACCCCACTCCCTCCATCCCAGTCACTTCCTCACTCCATCCTCGTCAGGGGTTTCAGAAAACCACTTCTCAGCAGGGGTTGAGCACCATCATCCCCCGAAGTTCCTTGCCCCCACAAGAACTCCAGTCTCCGTCCTCAAGGGGGTGAACTAGCGTTACCCAACGCCGATCGTGCCAGAGCTCGCCCACATCAGCCGGTACCCATTGGGCAATCTAAACTACCCAACGCCAATCGCATCTGATACGAGCTTCCCCTAGCCGGTACCCGTGAAGCAACCCTATTCCATCCCCTCTCCGGCCTTGTAAAGAATCATTTCATGGCTCTTCCCCGACTTCAAAGCAATCTCCAAAACCCTACAGGATACTTCACTTGACTACCCCATGGGCCCTGATACCTCAATTTGTTCATAAATTGCTTTACATGTCTTCATATGGGACGCTGGGCCCTATTCCCAGCACGTGAAGCATGTCTTCCCAAAAAAAAACAAAAAACAAAAAAAAAGAGAGTAGTGGAGCGAGCCCATTGATTCTATGAGAACGGGGGCCAGCAGTACCCGTGTCGGGGTTACGTTGGTGGTTTTGATGCTATGAGAACAGGGGTCAAAAGTACTGGTGCTGGGGTTACGTTGGTGCTAAAACTGCACGAACCTTGCCACCCTCTGCGGCGATGCTTTGCGGCTCAGCATGGATGGGGCCCAGGCTGAGGGTACAGCCTCAGGCCGCTGTCGGTGGTTTTGATGCTATGAGAACAGGGGCCAAGAGTACTAGTGCTGGGGTTGGTTCTCAAAATGCACGAACCTTGCCGCCCTCTGCGGCGATACTCATGCTTTGCTGCTCAGCATGGATGGGCCCCAGGCTGAGGGTACAGCCTCAGGCCGCTGGTGTGATTCCTGGGTGCCTGGCTCTACAGGGTTGACGCAGGAACTCGAGACTCAGTAGCACGGGACGGCAGACGCTGACTGTCGACCTTCGCTATCGACGGTCCCGATCTCTTGATCTGGACTCCGAACCCGCCCTTGGCAGCACTTCCCCGTCAGGGTGACTGCCGGAAGAAGAGAGGAGGAGAAAACAGATATGCGCGGGCCTGGGCGGACGACGCGGAGGGGCGCGGGGCTGGGCGGAGGTCGCGGAGGGCCGGAAGACAACGTATCCAGGAGCACTTGGCCGGTACAAAACTAAGTGCGCGGAAAGGGACGTCACCTCGATGCAAGCTGCTTGTCTTTTCTTCCTCCCCGTCCTCGCATCTCTCACTTCGCTGCAAGCGCCATAGCTTAGCAGCAAGTTCTCTCCTCTTTCGTCCTTGCGAGTCGTGGATCCGGGAAGAGTACTCTTAGCCGAGAAGATGGCGGCGGCACGTAGTGCTTTTTTGGTGATGGTGGTGTTGGTAGCGTCGGTGTTCGCTACTGCTAGCGCGGCCGATCTCTTTGGCACTCTCCAGAGCGATCAACGGTTCAAGGTCGTGGTGAAGGCCCTCGTCGACACACAGGAAGTCGACGCTCTCAGAGATCGATCCAACGGATCAGTGCCGTTCGTCTTCATCGCGCAGACTGATGCTGCCCTCCAAGAGGGCCTCGGTCTTGATGGTCTGGCGTGCATCACCCGGCCCGAGCACGTTAAGGACCATATGGTGCAGATTCTGCGATTCATGGAGGTCGGACCCTTGTCGCATCCGGTGAAGACGGCAGCGGATCTGTCCTCGGTTGCAGTCGACGGCAAACTGGCGACCATCAACGGCATGCCGATCTTCGTGGAGCCGGCGACGGGAAGCGGAGTCATCCTCAGCGGCGATGCTGAGCAAGAGCAGTTCTCGGCAACGGTAGCGGAGGTGAAGCAGATCAACGCGAACGTGACCCTTGTCGTCGTTGCGAACGGTTTCCTTGTCCCCGCACAGGTCGAAGAGCAAATCACGATGGCCTGCTTCCCGTCCGCAGCATCGTCGTCCTCCCCCGCAGTTCCCCTCGCCCCATCGTCCAATCATGCCCCGTCATCCAAGTCGGCAGAGGCTGCTCCCTCATCTTCGCAATCCACTCGTAGAGAGATGCTCCGTGGCTTCTGGTGGCGAGAGAGAGCGAGAGAGAGAGAGAGAGAGAGAGAGAGAGAGAGAGAGAGAGAGAGAGAGAGAGAGAGAGAGAGAGAGAGCTCTTGTGACGGATTTGAGACCCAGTGCCTCGGAAGGTATTAGTCAGGAAATCTACTCTTGCGCTCGTGTCCCATCGTTAGGTTGCGTGCTTCCCTGACCGTCCATGGAACTCGCGATGTAGATCGACGGTATAGTACGTGCGAGTGTGGGAATGACCGGCAGAGGATCCCCAAAGAAAGATTGCTGCGAATTTCGATCTGTGGATTGAGAATAGAAGATCAAGATTACCGTATTCGCGCGCGGAACGATGTCGCTCTGTCTGCAGAGTCTGCAGACTGTCAAAAGAGATTGCAGGTTTCGGCCTTCTGGTTGATGATTTGGTTGAGTTTTACATTTATGTTGTTTTCGCTGTAGATGCTCTTGACAAGTATAATCACTCTCAGTATTACTTATTTATATGACTTTCTGGTATGCACCTGGCCGCAATTACGCCCGGATTAGGTCGACTCTTTGGATCGACTGTAGCTTTCCATCATGGTCGGACCTTCAGCTTGGGAAGCTCGCGCTAATCGGAAGACACTTGTGCAATGGTTCGATTTTTCTAGGAACACTTTAACCCTACGACTTTCTTGTATGCACCTGGCCACAATTACGACCAGATTGGATCAAAATAAAAGTTCGGATTGCAGAATTGCGCCGTTCTACTTCGTAGATGACTTCACTAGATGACTTCAGGTTTCGGAGTTATGGGTCTGGTGAGAGAAAGGCAGTGTGGCACTTGCGGCAAAATCCATGCCCGTTTGAAGCTCCGTGGAAATTCACGCTGGTACTTGCGGTAGTTGGAAATTTCAAATTAGCCTAATTAGGTATTCGAAATTTGAATTTCGGTGTTAAAACTTTGAAATGCAATTTTTTGTTTAATTATATCCGAGGACAAACATCGATGTTGTGTGTCGTGACTGTCGTCCATTTTTTTATTTGTTTTTGCCTGCTGTTTTTGGGCAGGGACCATGCTTATCTTCTTTGTGTCGTCCCATACTGAAATTTAACGTATCTGAATTTGCAAAACACCGAGTCGTGTTTCGGCCGGGAATATGTTCCGAGGACCGAAATCAATCTCTCTCCTCTCCGCTTGAATAAATGCTCATATGACCTGACTTCAGCGATTAGATCTTTCTGCAAGCATGGAGGCATACCTAGTCCAGTTGGGCCTAGTCCTTCTACATAAAGTCGATGACTGATTACCAATGAATCTTTCAAGAACATTGATCACCTGGAAGTACATGAGACGACAAACCTCATACCGAAAAGGCTGGTGAGTCTGGTGACCATCGCATAAGAGAGAGAGCCATCTCTCTCTCTCTCTCTCTCTCTCTCTCTCTCTCTCTCTCTCTCTCTCTCTCTCTCTCTCTCTCTTTGTGCGCGCTGTGTGTGTGTGTATGCGCGCGTTGTGTGTGTGTATATGCACGCGTTCTGTGTGTGTGTGTGTATGCGCGCGTTCTATGTGTGTGTGTGTGTGTGTGCGCGCGTTCTATGTGTGTTTGTGTGTGTGTGTGTGTGTGTGTGTGAGGCAGGGCACTATATACTCCCGTGCGCGAACAGATAGTAGGCACTAAGACACCTTGTGTAGCTTGTCTTGAACCTGCTTTGTCTTACTTCCCAACTACGTCGCCCTCAATTAAGAAAATATTTGTTGTGACCCGAGATGATTCCCCTGTACAGGGATCATTTGATATGTGAAACGTTTGAGGGCGGGACGAAAGTGACCTTCAGCAGGAGACTAAATGTTGCTTCGTCCTCTCTAGCAGACGACGAACATGGCCATGATTGGGACCAGGTACATGCTGTCCAAGCCTGAACTTATCACCGTTGGGTCCTGGCTCCAAATGCAGTGGGCGAAGTCTGCCAAGCTTAAAAAGCTTTTGGGGTCTGTACACGGGGCCTTCATAGATCGAAAACTATTCAGCGCAGGCTGCTTCAGTTGATTAGTCCGCATGGTCTCATTTCAGTTTGGCTCTGAAGATTACGGTCTCAGAATGCCATGCGGAGATATGCTGAGATTGCGAGTGCGGTCCGAGAAGTATCCTGTGAATCCGAAGTTTATTTTGCTTTTTCTTTACGGGATTCGAACACTCGCGGGTATACATTTCATCAGCTTACGGCTCATGATGGGTGTACAAAATGAGCTGATCCCGTTGGTTCAATCCGAAGTTTTCCTGACTTTCAGATTCGATCTGGAGTCTGGCTCAGCACACTAGTGACTGTCTCGAGCGGTTACATCTTCTGAGCAGTGCTCGCTCACCCTGTTGGATGTTATCGGGGTCTGCCTCTCTCGGTTGGATAGGCTGATAGGCTTCGGCAGAAGGAACAAAACGAAAATAAAGGTGATCCTTCCAGTTTGTTTCCTTTGTCTTTTATCGTTAATTAATCCAGTTGCTGTTTTTTTTTTTTTTGGCTGAAAGAGGCGTTATGGGACGCTGGACCCGGTATTGGCCCCAGTTTTTCCTCCGGGGTTGAAATGTCGAGGTTTTCCCGGCCTCAATTTATGATTTGGAAATAAAGCTCTTTCATTAAAAAAAGAAAAAAAAAAGAAGAAAAGGTGATCCCATCTATTGCAGCTTAGGCTTGCGGCCCGTTGGTTGAATCCGAAGTTTTCCTGACTTTCAGATTCGATCTCGAGTGTGGCTCAGCACACTGTAGTCTCCAACGGTTCTATATTCTGAGCAGGGCTCGCTCACCCTGTTTTGGATGTTTTCGGGGTCTGCCAGACTCTGCCTCTCTCGGTTTGTCACGGATGGTGCTCGCTTCGACTGAAGGAACAAAACGAAAACAAAGGTCTATCCCATCTATTGCAGCTTAGGCTTGTGACCAGGGCCGTGGTCCCATTAGCAAGAGAGCATCGGATTGAATGCTTGAATCTGGACGTGTTCGAGGACAGGAGCAGGAAATCGAGATCGAACTGCTTTTCTGTATCTCTGCAAACAACATGGCCAGATTCAGGATTTCTATC